ATACAATGCTTGCATTTTTCTTCTTTTGCTGTGAATTTGGCTCGTGTTTATACAACAAATAAATCTTTTGGTAACGCCCCAGGCGTTATCATCCTCCTGTTTTGCTTTTCTCGCACTGTGCTGTTATACCCATGAGGGACAGCTTTTTTTTGGTAAAGGGGAACCAACCCTTCAAAATTTCTGAATGTCTCACACACAGTGCGGGGAACAGTCCCTTATCAATGAACGCACCTTATAACGGCCACTATTCAGTGCTCCTACTCCTTGACCTCTCTGCGGCCTTCGACACAGTTGACCACCCCCTCCTCCTCTCAAAATACTACACTCCCTCGGCCTCAGAGATTCTGCTCTCTCCTGGCTCTCATCCTACCTGTCACAACGCTCTTTCAGCGTTACCTATAATGCTACCACCTCCCCCTCACTCCCCCTCTCTGTTGGGGTCCCTCAAGGCTCTGTCCTTGGGCCCCTTCTCTTCTCCATCTACACCTCCTCCCTTGGCCAACTCATACACTCTCACGGCTTCAACTACCACCTCTATGCCGACGACACACAAATCTATCTCTCAACCCCCCACCTCACCCCCTCGGTCTCTGCCCAAATCACACACCTACTGAGCGACATATCAGATTGGATGTCGCTCCACTTCCTTAAACTGAATCTCTCCAAAACCGAGCTCCTTGTCTTCCCCCCAGCCCGAACCCCACCCCCCATTGACTTCTACATCACATCCAATAATGCCAATATCAAACCCGCTCTGCAGGCCAGAGTACTTGGTGTCATTCTGGACTCCAACCTATCCTTCCAGCCCCAAGTCCAATCTTTAACAAACTCGTGCAGACTCCGCCTCCGCAACATCGCCAAAATCCGCACGTTCCTAACCCCAGAAACCACTAAACAGCTCATCCACTCCCTCATCATATCACGACTCGACTACTGCAACTCCCTCCTCACTGGCCTGCCTCGCCGCTGGCTATCCCCGCTTCAGTCCATCCTGAATACGGCTGCCAGACTCATTCACCTTTCCAACCGCTCCGTTTCCGCCACCCCCCTCTGCCAATCCCTCCACTGGCTTCCGATTGCGCAACGGATCAAATTTAAAATCCTAACACTGACGTACAAAGCCGTCCACCATACTGCCCCGAACTACATCACCGACCTAATATCCAAGTACCGCCCAGCACGCACACTCCGCACCTCACAAGACCTCCTTCTCTCTAGTTCCCTTGTCTCCTCCTCCCATGCCCGCCTCCAGGACTTCTCCAGGGTGTCACCCATCCTCTGGAACTCCCTTCCCCAACCCATCAGATTATCACCTATTCTCCTCTCCTTTAGGCGCACCCTGAAAACCCATCTCTTCAGGGAAGCCTACCCCACCCCCTGCTAACTTGCTGACCTCCTCCACTCTTCCTACCACTCCATCCCCCACAGCTATCTCCTCCTGTACCACCATCCCCTCCCTCCTAGATTGTAAGCTCGAAAGAGCAGGGCCCTCGATCCCCTCATGTTTTGCATTGTATTGGTATTGTTCTGTCACATGTTCTGTGCCCCTTTGTAATGTACAGCGCTGAGTGAACTATTGGCGCTTTATAAATACTGTATAATAATAATAATAATAATAACAAGATTTTTTTTTTTATTATCTTTATTAATACAAAAAAAAAGCAATAACTTATTTAATTTACAATAGAAATTGAACATACAGAAATAGCATGCATTCAGAGAATGTGATAAATGCAAGTAGTTACTTAACATACATAGAATACTATTTCAGATAATACACACAACATTATATTCATATAGTTCACTCCATGACGAGTTTGTATGTGGTACTCTGAGCAAAAATGAAAAAAAAAAAAATGAATGATGGACTTTTTCAATAAATATATTTCCATTTAAAACACTTGAATATATAACTGGTAGTAAATACATAGAACTACATACTACGGTAGCATAACTTGGTTAGGATACAAAAAAATAAGAATGTGACATAAAATAATGATTTTTTGTGTCAAAATTTCTATTTTTATGTCTTTTTTTTTTACATCTAACTCTGAAATTTTTCAAAACATTGTTCAAAAAATAAAATATGACGGACATTGCGAGATAGTCAAAAGTGGAGCTCCATTCAAAAGTTAATTTTTCTTTTCAGACAGACTGGGGATGTGTCAGAATTTCTATTTTTATGTCTTTTTTTATTTTTTACATCTAACTCTGAAATTTTTCAAAACATTGTTCAAAAAATAAAATATGACAGACATCATGAGATGGTCAAAAGTGGAGCTCCAGTCAAAAGTAATTATTTTTTTTTGACAGACTGGGGATGTGTCAGAATTTCTATTTTTATGTCTTTCACTCATTCCTGTTCTGAAGGCACAACAGGAAGGGAGAGGCAATCTTCTGAAACCCCTCTTAGTTGTCCCTCTCTCCCAGTTCCTATGAAAGTGAATGTCACCCTGGAGGACATGGACAACAATAAAATGATGATTTACGGATATGACTTATGGTTTTTGAAAAAGAGTTCTAGCTGGAATTCCCAATTTAGGAACTTTGGTTGACTTAGAGGGATGCTGATACAAGCCATCAGAAATACAAAAGTTATACAGACGCATGCCAGATATGTGTGTATATACTGCATGTTGAAATGCATTTTTAATATATTACAAAATATATGAAAAATATTTTTCAAAATATATTTTTTAAAATATATTCTTCAGATTTTTTTTTAACATATAAAAAAAGTCATTTTCACATGTATTTTTACATATATTTGTAAATGCATTCCAAAAATGTAGATTTTTTCTGCCGTCACTCTTCTATGTTACAGCCGGTGCAAAGGAACAGAGAATGGGTGTAGGGTGGTACAACCATGCTACGGCATGCACTTTGAGTGGGGGAGAGAGCGTAGTTCCACATCTTTCCTCAGGTCGCTGGATCAACCTGTCTTATTATCGCTGGACGCATCCAGCGACCTGAGCATCCTTGCCCTGGTCGCTGGATGGGTGCACTGTCAAAATTTAGGACGCCAGGTCTCCTAGGTTTGACAGAATGGCCAACCCAAAGCTAGGGAAGAAATGTATCTTGGCCATCTTGGAAGAGACTTCCAGTCTTCCAATAGACTATGCTAAAAAAAAAAAAAAAATGTAAAAAAAAAAGGGCCAGACTTGATGGACCTGTTGGTCTTTTTCTGCCATCACTCTTCTATGTTACAGCCAGTGCAAGGGGACAAAGAATGGGTGTAGGGTGGTACAACCATTCTACGGCATGCACTATGAGTGGGGGGAGAGAGCGCAGTTCCACATCTTTCCTCAGGTCGCTGGATGAACCTGTCCCAGTGTCGCTGGATGGGTGCAAGGCAAAAATATAAGACACCGGGTCTCCTAGGTTTGACAGACTGGCCAACCCAAAGCTGGGACAGTGCAAGGGGACAGAGAATGGACGCAGGGTGGTACAACCATTCTACAGCATGCACTATGAGTGGGGGAGGGGTACCGTTCCGCACCCTTGCTGAATGAACCTGTCCCAGTACTGGTTATGATTCGTATGGGTACAAGGCCAAAATATAGGACGCCAGGTCTCCTAGGTTTGACAGAATGGCCAACCCAAAGCTGGGGAAGAAATATATCTTGGCCATCTTAAAAGAGACTTCCAGTGTTCCAATAGACTATGCTCAAAAAAAAAAACCTTGATGGACCTCTTGGTCTTTTTCTGCCGTCACTCTGCTTCTATCACTTGGGCCACGTGTCTTTTTTTTCTTGAACCTTGAAGGTTCCTATATACATTAGACCTCTTCCAACCTGTCTCATTATCGCTGGATGCATCCAGCGACCTGAGCATCCTTGCCCTGGTCGCTGGATGGGTGCACTGTCAAAATATAGGACGCCAGGTCTCCTAGGTTTGACAGATTGGCCAACCCAAAGCTGGGGAAGAAATATATCTTGGCCATCTTGGAAGAGACTTCCAGTCTTCCAATAGACTACGCTAAAATAAAAAAAAAATGGCCAGACTTGATGGACCTGTTGGTCTTTTACTGCCATCACTCTTCTATGGTACAACCATTCTACGGCATGCACTATGAGTGGGAGAGAGAGCGCAGTTCCACATCTTTCCTCAGGTCGCTGGATGAACCTGTCCCAGTATCGCTGGATGGGTGCAAGGCAAAAATATAAGACACCGGGTCTCCTAGGTTTGACTGACTGGCCAACCCAAAGCTGGGACAGTGCAAGGGGACAGAGAATGGACGCAGGGTGGTACAACCATTCTACAGCATGCACTATGAGTAGGAGAGGGTACCGTTCCGCACCCTTGCTGGATGAACCTGTCCCAGTACTGGTTATCATTCATATGGGTACAAGGCCAAAATATAGGACGCCAGGTCTCCTAGGTTTGACAGAATGGCCAACCCAAAGCTGGGGAAGAAATATATCTTGGCCATCTTAAAAGAGACTTCCAATGTTCCAATAGACTATGCTCAAAAAAAAAAACCTTGATGGACCTCTTGGTCTTTTTCTGCCATCACTCTGCTTCTATCACTTGGGCCACATGTCTTTTTTTTTTGAACCTTGAAGGTTCCTATATACATTAGACCTCTTCCATCTCAGATCTGCAGTCTCAGCAGGTTGAGAATACAACTGAACTGTCTACAGCTCAATGCAGATGCTAAAGATGACCTCAGGATGAATGCACTGGCCAAGGATAAAAATATATATATAAAAAAAAACACCAATAAAGTTGTGAAACACTCCTCTAAATCAACCAAAATCAATTCTTCCCAATTGGTTATATGCATGCTACCATGTGTAGAGACACCTCAATTTTTTTTTTTTATATAATATGTTAATTTGTTCTTCGAAGACTAAAGACTAAAACATCTTTTGTCATGGAGTATAGGAAACACTTATTATTTTCATAACAGTTCAAAGCAGATGGAATGAATAAAACCTGAAATTGGGTGATGGAGTTATTGAGGAACACCTCACATGGTGAGGAAACAGAATGTCCCGTTATTTGTCGCACTCCAGGTCCTGCACAGCCTCTCCGCCTTGGTAGTGCTCCAGGCAGAACTCCCGTATGCGCCGGCATGCCTCTACCATCATTTCTTCTGGAACGGTGAGCACGACCCGAAAATAGTTGGGATATTCAAAGCACTAGGAAAAAAAAATAGAATACAGAATTACAAGGATAGTGGTGGTTGTACCATCGTCCCAATGAAGGTTGGAGTGCTAAGTGGGAAGAGTCTACCTGCTATGGTTACCTAATCAGCCCCAGTGGTTGCAGTAAGAGAATAAAGCCCTCTATACATGACCTGAAAATTGTACGAAAAATGCCGCTTTTAAAGCGATCGTTTGATAATCTGATTGTTAGTACACAGCAACTGTCCAAAATTACTCGAAGGGGCAAGCAGGAAAATTTTTGTCGTACGATACTAGATCGTACAATTCTCATATTTTACAATATATTTGGGGACAGTACAATTACAAGAAGGAATAGGAGGGGCCCTGATCATGGAGCTTACAATTTACATAGTTACATAGTTAGTCTGGCTGAAAAAAAACAAAAGTCCATCCAGTTCAACCATTAAAAAAAAAGTTATAATCTTAAACCCACGATTGATCCAGAGGAAGGCAGAAAACCCAGCAAAGTATGATCCAATTTGCTCCTGCAGGGGAAACATTCCTTCCTCATCCCCCGAGAGGCAATCGGATATTCCCTGGATCCACTTTCACTATAAATGTCATATCCAATTATATTCTGTGTATCCAAGAAAGAATCCAGGACTTTCCTACAGCAATCCACTGAGCTGGCCACAACCAACTCTGGAGGGAGTCTATTCCACATTCTCACAGCTCTCACTGTGAAGAGACCTTTCCATGTTTGGAGATTTACATTTCTTTTCCTTCAGACGTAAAGAGCGCCCCCTTGTCCTCTGTGATGACCTCAGGGGGAATAACTACACCGAGTTCACAATATGAACCACTGATGTATTATACATGGAGATCATATCCCCCCCTTATGTAATATACATGGAGATCATATCCCCCCCTTATGTATTATACATGGAGATCATATCCCCCCTTATGTATTATACATGGAGATCATATCCCCCCCTTATGTATTATACATGGAGATCATATCCCCCCTTATGTATTATACATGGAGATCATATCCCCCCTTATGTATTATACATGGAGATCATATCCCCCCTTATGTATTATACATGGAGATCATATCCCCCCTTATGTATTATACATGGAGATCATATCCCCCCTTATGTATTATACATGGAGATCATATCCCCCCCTTATGTATTATACATGGAGATCATATCCCCCCTTATGTATTATACATGGTGATCATATCCCCCCTTATGTATTATACATGGAGATCATATCCCCCCCCCTTATGTATATTATACATGGAGATCATATCCCCCCCTTATGTATTATACATGGAGATCATATCCCCCCTTATGTATTATACATGGAGATCATATCCCCCCCCTTATGTATTATACATGGAGATCATATCCCCCCCTTATGTATTATACATGGTGATCATGTACCCCCCCTTATGTATTATACATGGTGATCATATCCCCCCTTATGTATTATACATGGTGATCATATCCCCCCCTTATGTATTATACATGGAGATCATATCCCCCCCTTATGTATTATACATGGAGATCATATCCCCCCTTATGTATTATACATGGAGATCATATCCCCCCTTATGTATTATACATGGAGATCATATCCCCCCTTATGTATTATACATGGAGATCATATCCCCCCTTATGTATTATACATGGAGATCATATCCCCCCTTATGTATTATACATGGAGATCATATCCCCCCTTATGTATTATACATGGAGATCATATCCCCCCTTATGTATTATACATGGAGATCATATCCCCCCCCTTATGTATTATACATGGTGATCATATCCCCCCCTTATGTATTATACATGGTGATCATATCCCCCCCTTATGTATTATACATGGAGATCATATCCCCCCTTGTATTATACATGGAGATATACATGGAGATCATATCCCCCCTTAATCTCCTCTTCTCAGTAGAGAATAAATTCAGTTCCTCTAATCTTTCCTCATAGCTGATCTCCTCCATGCCTCTTATCAGTTTGGTTGCCCTTCTCTGTACTTTCTCCAGTTCCCCAATGTTCTTTTTGTGATTTGGTGCCCAAAACTGAACTGCATATTCCAGATGAGGTATTACTAATGATTTGTACCGGGGTACAAATGGGGTAAAGGGAGGGGAAGTATGATTTCTTCTAAGTATGACTTCCCCTATCCTTGTGTGAGCAAGCCAAAAGTGTTGAAACGCGTCAAGGAAGGTTGGTTTTGGGTTGGAGACATCACTGTACGCAGTCAGTTCACCGAATGTTAAAACGGCCTCTCAACCAGGGTGCCCAGGCTTCTTCAGGGGTGCCTTGGCAAAATGCCCACAAATTGTATACAAGCCAGCAGGTGGATAAATGCTGCCTTTTAGCACACAAAGCCACAGGCAGGGGCGACTGACAACTCATGGGGCCCCCGGGCAAAAGGGGATCATGGGGCCCCTGTGTCCTTGCCCAAACTCAAAAAAGCCTGTGAAAAAGGTATCAGGAGCATGTCATGGGGCCCCTACTGACCCCGGGCCCTCGGGCAGTTATTTGGCCCTCCCCCGCCCCTCTCCATCAGCACTGAGGGAGAGAAAATGAGAGAGACACACTGGAATACTAGTCAGTCCCGGTGTGCAAAGGTGTATTTGCTTTGAAATAAATCACCTCTAACGTTGGGTGTACCCCACATGGAAGAAAAATATATTTTAAAAATATTCTTCCCAAATATATTGTCATATATTTGAAATACTACAATTTTATCCATACGCTGCGTTCAGAATTCAACACTGGTGGCTGCAACTGGTTTTAGGGAAGCAACATTTAAAGGATACGGAAACTTTCATTTTTGGGGAGATTTGTAAAATTTTAGCTTAATGCGAATTTAAATGGAAATGGTCATTTTTTAAAAATAACTTAACATTGTAATACAACGTTCTATACAATTTTAACGAAAGTAGAGTTCCTTTAAATGAATTTAGTCTGTAAAGACTTACGGTAGCTGGAAGACAAAAGACGGATTGCTCAGATATCATTCTTTCCGTGAAATCCACATCGCTCTCAAATTCTGGAAAGTGTTCCATGTCAATCCCAACCTACAAAGTACACAGACAAATAAAAGAAAGAAATTAGGCTTTAATGAGGCAAACATTGGCGGGAATACTATTATTTCTTCAGAACACTTTATCATTTGTCTGCTTCATGCCTCAGCTGCCTCCTGGTTCTCAAGTGACAGACAGGTCTGACCTAAGCCAAGTAGAGCCTACCTCCAGACAAAGCCTACCACCTATCCAAGCCAGGTAAAGCCTACCTCCAGACAAAGCCTACCACCTGACCCAAGCCAGGCAGAGCCTACCTCCAGACAAAGTCTACCATCTGACCCAAGCCAGGTAAAGCCTACCTCCAGACAAAGTCTACCATCTGACCCTAGCCAGCTAGAGCCTACCTCCAGACAAAGTCTACCATCTGACCCAAGCCAGGTAGAGCCTACCTCCAGACAAAGTCTACCACCTGACCCAAGCCAGCTAGAGCCTACCTCCAGACAAAGTCTACCATCTGACCCTAGCCAGGTAGAGCTTACCTCCAGACAAAGCCTACCACCTGACCCAAGCCAGGTAGAGCCTACCTCCAGACAAAGTCTATCACCAGACTCAAGCCAGGTAAAGCCTACCTCCAGACAAAGCCTACCACCTGACCCAAGCCAGGTAGAGCCTACCTCCAGACAAAGTCTACCACCAGACTCAAGCCAGGTAAAGCTTACCTCCAGACAAAGCCTACCACCTGACCCAAGCCAGGTAGAGCCCATCTCCAGACAAAGCCTACCACCTGACCCAAGCCAGGTAAAGCCTACCTCCAGACAAAGCCTACCACCTGACCCAAGCCAGGTAGAGCCTACCTCCAGACAAACCCTACCACCTGACCTAAGCCAGGTAGAGCCTACCTCCAGAAAAAGCCCACCATCTGACCAAAGCCAAGTAGAGCCTACCCCCAGACAAAGCCTACCACCTGACCCAAGCCAGGTAGAGCCTACCTCCAGACAAAGTCTACCACCTGACCCAAGCCAGGTAAAGCCAACCCACCAACAGTCAAACTGTTTTAGTTTTGGATATGTGGAGAAGTGTTACCATTTGTGTGTTATTTTTTTATCTGTGACCCCCATTGCGGAGATTTTTCCATTACTTCCTCTCTCTGTTTTTTTTTGTCTAGGTCATCAGGGGTTGGAGATATGTGTCACCTTTGTTTGGGTTGTGATCCCAACAAAAGAAGCAGGTCAGTGTACTGAGCGATTCTCACCACTGCAGGGTGAGGGGTTCCAGGGGGATTTGTGAAAAAAAAAAAAACAGAAAACCGATTTGCAGTTTTCCCAGGATTATTAAGTCCTGACATGGGACCGGGAATCCAGAGGCTCGGAAAGATCTCGGTTGGGAAAGAGCCTCCAGCCCAACTACAGGTACTTAGGGCCTGAAAGGGTTAACCCAACGGCAAGAGAGGGCTGGAAAAGTTCAGGAAGCAGCCAGCAGGTGTCCGTGAAGTGTTGTGTGGGACAGGCAGTGCCAGGACACGGTCATCTACGGCCCAGGGCGAACATGCTACACTGCGCCCCCCCCAAGAGCACTAATCTGCATGCTTACCCACTAGGGTGTAAATTCTCCATCCTTCTAGTACAAATCCACCTCCTTGCTGAAATCCCTGCTCCCAGAACAAAAATCTTTGCCCTCCATCCCCCAAATACCCTGGGCACAAAAAAAAATCACCCCCCTAGCAGAAATTCTCTATCCCTCAAATTTCCCATTTGAGTACACATCTTCTCCCCCCCACTCCAAATCCCTCCTCCCAGCACAAATCCCACCCAATATCCCCTCCTAGTAAAAATCTCCCCTCCCCAATTTCCCTTCCTAGCACAAAAACCCTCCTCCTTGCGCAGATCCTCTTCCCCCATCCCCCCTCCCAACACAAATCCCCCTAAATCACCAAATCTAGCACACACTTCAAAATTTCCCCTCCTAGAACAATTCTTATCCCCTGCCGCCCCCAAATTCCCCCTACCTACACAAATCCCCTCCACCCCAATCTCCTCGCAGTGCCCTCTCACCTCACATGATACCACAGTGCCCAGGGCAGCCGCCCCTCCTGTCCACCCCTTGCACGGCCCAGAGGACAGGACAATGTGGGCTTTCTGGCTACTGAGACGCTTGGGGTGTCTTATGACTTTTCTGGAGCCCTGCAGAAGGCGGGGACTTTAAACCCTGTTGTGGGACCAGCTTATGCTGGTGGTGAACCAAATCTTTGATTTGTACCAGAGTTATGGACTGTTTTGTTTATTAAATTCTTAAGCTGAGCTACTTTGTTTACCTTTTTTAAAACAATAAAAACTGTTTGCTTTTGCAAAGACAGCTGGGTAATGCTCCGGACCCATATAATATCTCACCCTGGTCAATGGTGACCCTAAACCTCACTGAAGTGAGATTGTGTTCCTATGGAACAAAGACATGAATGGGAGCCATGCCGGCTTTGCATGCTATCACTTGTTTAGAATCATATGATAAATATTTTTTAAAAACTGCGAGTTTTTCTTAAAGGATCTGTCCCCCCCCAAACATAATATTTCAAGTGTACCCATTGAGAGACTTCCTATTATTCCTTTTCTGGTGACAACGCAAATAAATTGTATTTTTCTTTACTTTCAGTCCCCGTGACAAAAGTCACCAGAGAGGATTGATCTCCCCAGAGGAGCTATTACAGCAGAAAAAAAAAGGGGGCGAGTTTGCTCTGAATAGTAAAAATTAATGACATAACGTTTTAGGTCTGTGGTGCTCAGATGCCGTGAAGTTCCACTTTAACATATAAATTCCAAAAGTCATTTTTAACATTTTCAATCTGCACCTTTTCATTAAAACCATGAAGGTCTGTTTTAGGCACTTCCTGTTATAGGGTGACAATGCCATGTCCCTGTCTCTAAATTGGGCTGCCGCGTTGTCACCCTGTCACAGAGGCTTCAGATGGGGACTACAAGTGGCCATTTCTGTACACATTGCACAAGCCTAGTTCTGAACAAAATCTGGAATTTTACCAAGTGTGGGGGTGTCCGGTAAAACGAGGGTATCTAGCCAATAATCTGCTTACCATTAAATACATGGCTCCTGCTGGTCGCACAGGGCAGAGTCCAGGGACGGCGGAGAGGGTATTATAGCAGAGGTCAGCATTAGACTGCAAAATACAGAGTACACAAGGAAGAATAGACGTCAACTAATGTTCCAGAAAACTATTGACTCCAAATGATGATAAGCCAAAGCAAAGAGAGGCAAGTGAGATACAGAAGAGCATACCAGAGGCCAGAGCTATGACCTATTTCCCAATATTACAGCTTTTAAAAAGAACGCACGGTCCATAGATGGTAGCCATAGAATGAGAAGGAACGTGTTTTTGCTGGATATACGAGTGTGTAGCAGGGGCGGACTGACCATTTGGAAACTCGGGCACTGCCCGAGGGCCCGGGGTCAGTAGGGGGCCCCATGAGATGCCCCTGGTACCTTTTTCATAGGCTTTTTTGAGTTTGGGCAAGGACACAGGGGCCCCATGATCCTCTATTGCCCGGTGGTCCCATGAGTTGTCAGTCCGCCCCTGGTGTGTAGCATCCAGAACATTCATCATACTAGGTCCGATTTTCCTAAATGGCCAGAGGAGAAGATAAGGAGCAGCAACTGCCCAGGGTTCAGAAGAAACAGGATGTCATACCCCTTTTAAAAACTGTATTACCCAACAGTAACACCATGGAAATTTTGGTAAAATTATGAATTCTTTCCAATGTGAGGGGAATTGCACACAACCAATGGTGGTTATCGGGACAGAATAAAGAGGGTAAACCGCCCCGATGGGGGCACAAACACATTTTGTTGTTTAGATTCACTCTAATTGTACTTTTCAGATACTGAACCAATTGGAATTTCAATTGTCCGTTTACTTCTAATATTACAGAAAGTATATTAGGAGGTGAGATAAAATGTCTCATGGGCACATCTATTCCAAGGACAAATGTCTAAGAGTGCATTTCTGCTCACATGGGAAATAATATGCAGTTTTACCAAAATTTCCATGGTGTTACTGTTGGGTAATACAGTTTTTAAAAGGGGTATGGCCCCCTGTCTCTTCTACGCCCTGAGCAGTTGCTGGCCCTTGTCTTCTATGGAAATTTAGAAAAAGCAAACCTGGAATGATAAATGCTCTGAATGCTACACACACTCAAATATCCACCAAAAACATTCCTTCTAAATGTAATGAGAACATTCATGAAAATTTTGGTAAAATTACAAATTCTTTGCCATGTGAGGAGAAATGCACTCTTAGGCAGGCCAAAGAAAGTGTGAATTTCTTTCGATTCCTCCATCAACACAGTCAGTGTTGACAGGGGAATCTCTCCCACCGAACCATTGTGTTCTCCCAGTGGGGGGGGGGGGGGGCAGGGGAAGCCATTCCTGCCAGAAGACAGTGATTATTGCTAGTAGCTTTGACAGCTGCTATCAATAATTGCATGTAAAGTCCATCAGGCTGGTTATGCCCAAGTTGATCGATCTCTTGGGTACATTTAGCCTGCCCGCACATGGTTCAAATCTCGGCCGGTCCCTGCTGAACCGGATGGGATTTGAACCGTATATGGCCGGCTACATTTACACATCATCTAACAAAGTGAGGTTCTGGAAGTAGGAGCACACTTCCTGAACCATAAGCTGTGTAATTTACTTTCCCTCTTTGTCATGCATCATAAATCACATTCAAAATTCTAAGGCAGGTTTGACTCTTTTTGGTGGCTATAAGTAACTTTGCACAAAATTTCTTTTTACATTATATTTTATCCATGAGAAGCAGCAATGTGCATGAAGTTCCAGCATCTCAAACAGGCGCAATCCAGGATCACCAGATTACTAGGACCAGGGTGGCCTGGTGCAGTACAGCAACAACATTTGGAAATTGTGAATGGGTATGCTGTGCTTTTGTATGTATCTTACAATAAGTCTTCAAATTCAATTTTTAATTGTAGTGTACGTTCATGGTTCCCATAAACCTTGAAATAATTCTCAGGCAGCCTAGCTATTTCCTGTCCTCATATTTATGGATGATGTCAAACTATACCAATTAACCTCAGGCATTTAGTCATTTTGGACATTCTTGGCAAATCACTGTTGCTCGTTCTGAGGTGGAGCGGATGCTACGGATACCTAGCTGGAAACCAGTTTTTATATTTCCAATGAAAATATAAATATCACATACTGTATGAGATAAACACACACCCACATAGATAGTTCCTTGTTGTAGGACATACCTTGATAAAGTTGATGGTGTTGTCATAAAAATGTTGAGGAGTCCTGTTGATTAAGTGATCCAGTGCTCCTTGGACGATGGTACATGGACCGAGAATTCTCTGACTCAGGCGTACAAGGCCCTCTCTAATCTACAAAAAATATAAATATTTGTTTGTGACATTTTCACATAACATTTTAATAGACCCAATGGCCTTTTTGGATATTTGTGCAGATTTCAAAAGTATGTAACGTTAACTGCTAACCTTGTTGTTAGTGGCCAAAGGTTTGTGGACATTTATACCTATATGAAGTTATTGGACATCCTATTCCAAATCCATGAGTATTAATATGGTGTTGGAATCCCTTTTTCAACTATAACAGCCTTGGTTCTTTTAACAAGTCTTTCTCCAAGATTTTGGAGTGTGTTTGTGAGAATTTGTGCCCGTTCAGGCAAGAAAGCCTTTAAGAGGCCAGGTGCTAATTGGATTACAGAACCTGGCTCACAAATGGCATTCCAATTTATCCCAAAGGTGTTCAGTAGGGTTAAGGTCAGGACTCTGTGCAGGATATCCAAGTTCCTCCACACCAAACTGGTCAAACCACGTTTTTATGGCAATGTTAGTTGAGAAGACATAGCATCTAATTCACGTCAAAGGTGTTCAGTAGGGTTGAGGTCAGGGCTCTGTGCAGGACACCCAAGTTCCTCCACACCAAACTGGTCAAACCATGTATTTAAGGAGATGTTTGTTGGGAAGACCTGGCATCTACTTCATCTCAAAGGTGTTCAGGAGGGTTGAGGCCAGGGCTCTGTGCAGGACACCCAAGTTTTTCCACACCACACTGGTCAAGCCATGTATTTATGGAGATGTTACTTGAGAAGTCTTGGCTTGTTCCAGTTCATCCCAAAGGTGTTCAGTAGAGTTGAGGTAAGGGCTCTGTGAAGGGCACATGAGTTCCTCCACACCAAACTGGTCAAACCACGTTTTTATGACAATGTTAGTTGAGAAGACCTAGCATCCAATTCATGTCAAAGGTGTTCAGTAGGGTTGAGGTCAGGGCTCTGTGCAGGACACCCAAGTTCCTTCCAAACTGGTCAAACCATGTCTCTATGGAGATGTTACTCGAGAAGACCTGGCTTATTCCAGTTCATCCCAAAGGTGTCCAGTGGTCCTCCACACCAAACTGGTCAAACCATGTCTTTATGGAGATTTTGGTTGAGAAGACCTGGCATCCAATTCATCTCAAAGGTGTTCAGTAGGGTTGAGGTCAGGACTCTGTGGAGGACACACGAGTTCCTTCCAAACTGGTCAAACCATGTCTTTATGGAGATGTTACTCGAGAAGACCTGGCTTATTCCAGTGCATCCCAAAGGTGTTCAGTAGGGTTGAGGTCAGAGCTCTGTGGTCAGGGCTCTGTGTAGGACTGGTCAAACTGGTCAAACCATGTCTTTATGGAGATGTTAGTTGAGAAGACCTGGCATCCAATTCATCTCAAAGGTGTTCAGTGGGGTTAAGGTCAGGGCTCTGTGCAGGACACTTGAGTTCCTTCACACCACACTCATCAAATCATGTCTTATGGCTTTTTGTGTATGAGTACAGTCATTCTGAAACATTAAAGGGTCTACCTCAAATTGTTACCACAAGGTTTTAAGTGCACAATTGTATACTGCAGCATTAAAACCTTTCACTTGAAACACCCAAGCTCAATATTTTGAAGGGGCATTCACATACTTTTAGCCATATGGTGTCATTTAGCAGGACTTTTTGGTTTGCAGTTTTTTACAAAATAGTACACTAATAAACTGAACATTCCCGTCTCTTGAAAACTGGATTCCAAATCACTTATGGTTGATATGGTGCCTTAGTTTATAATAAATTTCAAAAGTAATATTTATTTGTAGAGGGAGCATTGCAGGCTGGGTCGGCACCTGGATTCTGTGTCTTAAATCTATGTCTCCAATGACTGATTTCACATTTATGTTGGATAGTTAGTCTATTTTACAGAACAGTTAATTGTATTCTAAGTTTATTGGTTCTTTAAATGTGATTATTTTATGGCTGTAGGTTTAAATTGTTACCTCTTTTCCAAAAATTTCTTTCCGATCGTGGATTAAAATCCATCCCATCCTCCATCCTGGCACCAGCCAACGCTTAGCAAGACCGCCACATGACAAAATTGGGACATTAGTGCTCAGTGGTGCCAGAGCCTGGAAGGCACCGTATTCAAAGACCTGTTGAAACATAAATGATTAAAGCAACCTTTTCAACTCAGAGGAAACCTTGACATAACTTTGCGGTCTCAGGGAACCCCTGCTAAAACGACTTTCTCTACAACTCATGATACATTAGTGTGATAGTCAGAGGTAAGAATGCTCCTTACACTTGTGGTCATTGGGAAGAATTACCTCCTTTCAGATAGCTAAAAAGATCAATGGTGTCAGTGGGAGCTTATCTGAGAGGCAAAACTTTCTCATTTCTCAAGGAACCTCTGGCAACCTCTAGAGGAACCCTAGGGTTTTATGCAGGGGCGGACTGACAACTCATGGGGCCCCCGGGCAATAGGGGATCATGGGGCCCCTGTGTCCTCACCCATACTCAAACCACACCCAAAAAAGCCTATGAAAGGTACTAGGGGCATCTCACGGGGCCCCCTACTGACCCTGGGCCCTCAGGCAGTGCCTGAGTGCCCAAATGGTCAGTCCTCCCCTGGATCTACGGAACCCTGGTTGAAAAACCCTGGATTAAAGCATCACACTACACAAAACTCATAATTTAGTCCTGGATAGATGCCTCCTCATATGTTTCCTAAAGCAGAACTAAAGGCATTTTGAATATTGTAATGAAGGGTTATAGCCTCCATCAGTTTATTTTTTTGCCAGATGTGTCCTATTGGGGAGATTTACCTTCACTTCCTGTCCCATAGCCAAAACAGGGAGTGAGAGGAAATGTCTGCAAATTAAGGAAATTCCTTGGGGACCTCTAGGTCCCCATTGGAAAATGTCCTCTCTAATACTTTTCTGGGGACAACCCACAATATGGGTTTTTTTTTTAAGTCTCATTTTTGATGATAATGGTAATTAGAGAGGGAAATCTCCCTAACGGGGGATCAGTGCTCCCTGTGACTGTGCGTGCAGCCTTGTGCTGACATCTGTTGGTGTGTTATAAAACTAGTCTCCAAACTTTTTGATGCCACCTCGCCATTGGCAATTTGAATACTTTTATGCACAAAGAATTAGTTTTTTAAAACATAGTTTTAATATAATAATTTATTTTATTACAGGTACTAATATAGCGCCGTAAATTTACGCAGCGCTTTACATATATATTGTACATTCACATCAGTCCCCGCCCCCGAAGAGCGTACAATCTAAGGTCCCTAACTCACATTCATACATACACATACTATGGCCAATTTAGACAGGAGCCAATTAACCACCCAGCATGTCTTTGGAGTGTGGGAGGAAACCGGAGTACCCGGAGGAAACCCACACAGGCACAGGAAGAACATGCAAACTCCATGCAGAAAGTGCCGTGGTTGGGATTTGAACCAATGACCCCAGTACTGCCAGGCGGTATATAATTGACAATATAGGAAACCATTTTAGCATCAATTCTATGTCAATGTTGCTTATTGTATACTGGGGTGGCAGCAAGATAAATAAAATCACAAAATAAAGAGTTAGTGGGCATTGCTGTGAAATTATTTAGCACTTTTGTGCAATCCTGTAAGAAGGAGGTAATATTTTCTGGATGGTTTGAGTCACTGGTGGATCCTTTGTGCGATAAATATGCGAAGGCATCTGAAAGTGTTTAGGAGACAAAAACTGATCATCCATGCCAAGGGAAGACAACATCAAAGGATACGCAATCTGCAAAGTCACTGTGACATCTGGTTGGGGTGATAGATGGGAAGGGGGCGGGACTCAGGACTCAGCATGCAACCTACATTGATATCTCTGCACAACACTGGAGTGCCAAGGGGATTTTTTTTTCTTTCGATTAAATTAACCCTTACTTTACTCATACTGGCATGGCCAATATTCACAGATCAGAAGAATGTAAGAGTCTGCTGTCAACTTTGCTAAAATGAACTCATTGCATATAAATGTTCTGGAAAGAATTTATTTTTACGGGAAAAAAAGCAAATTTCCAATGTAAGGCTAGGCTCACACCATTCAAGGCAAGGCTCACACCATTCAAGGCAAGGCTCACATCATTCAAGACAAGGCTCACACCATTCAAGGCAAGGCTCACACCATTCAAGGCAAGGCTCACACCATTCAAGGCAAGGCTCACATCATTCAAGACAAGGCTCACACCATTCAAGGCAAGGCTCACACCATTCAAGGCAAGGCTCACACCATTCAAGGCAAGGCTCACATCATTCAAGGCAAGGCTCACACCATTCAAGACAAGGCTCACACCATTCAAGACAAGGCTCACACCATTCAAGGCAAGGCTCACACCATTCAAGGCAAGGCTCACACCATTCAAGGCAAGGCTCACATCATTCAAGACAAGGCTCACACCATTCAAGGCAAGGCTCACACCATTCAAGACAAGGCTCACATCATTCAAGGCAAGGCTCACACCAGTCAAGGCAAGGCTCACACCATTCAAGACAAGGCTCACACCATTCAAGACAAGGCTCACACCATTCAAGACAAGGCTCACACCATTCAAGGCAAGGCTCACACCATTCAAGGCAAGGCTCACACCATTCAAGGCAAGGCTCACACCATTCAAGGCAAGGCTGACACCATTCAAGACAAGGCTCACATCATTCAAAGCAAGGCTCACACCATTCAAGACAAGGCTCACACCATTCAAGGCAAGGCTCACATCATTCAAGGCTAGGCTCACACCATTCAAGGCTAGGCTCACACCATTCAAGGCTATACTCACACCATTCACAACAAGGCTCACACCATTCAAGGCTAGGTTCACACCATTCAAGACAAGGCACACACCATTCAAGGCTAGGCTCACACCATTCACAACAAGGTTCACACCATTCAAGACAAGGCTCACACCATTCAAGACAAGGCTCACATCATTCAAGGCAAGGCTCACATCATTCAAGGCTAGGCTCACACCATTCAAGGCTAGGCTCACATCATTCAAGGCAAGGCTCACAGGCAAGGCTCACACCATTCAAGGCAAGGCTCACACCATTCAAGACAAGGCTCACACCATTCAAGACAAGGCTCACACCATTCAAGGCAAGGCTCACACCATTCAAGACAAGGCTCACAGTATTCAAGGCAAGGCTCACACCATTCAAGGCAAGGCTCACATCATTCAAGGTGAGGCTCACACCATTCAAGGCAAGGCTCACACCATTCACGACAAGGCTCACACCATTCAAGGCAAGGCTCACACCATTCAAGACAAGGCTCACACCATTCAAGGCAAGGCTCACACCATTGGCAAGGCAAGGCTCGCACCATTCAAGGCAAGGCTCGCACCATTCAAGACAAGGCTCGCACCATTCAAGGCAAGGCTCGCACCATTCAAGGCAAGGCTCACACCATTCAAGGCAAGGCTCACACCATTCAAGGCAAGGCTCACACCATTCAAGTAGAAGAAGATGAAAGGCTGAACTGCTGTAATACTGACACTCAGTGGCTGAATATCTCCTTGCCATGGGAACTCTGCCATACTGAAGTTTCTATCTTCCAAACCCAGTTCTGATGAAGAAGGGAGCACCCTTCGAAACGCGTTAGCCTTCACCCCCCCCCTTTTTGATTTACCTGTAACCCTGTTTGGATTATGGTTACTTATGCCTGTTATACAATCATTTTGTGAGTATATTTCCTTATTAATAAAATTAGTCACTATTTATTGAGGTAATGCGCAAGGTTTGTGCGCTCTTTCTTTCATCTTCCTCTACAGTTTTATTAAGCTTCCCCAGCTTCATGATAGAGCTGCACAACTTCTGATCACCAGCGGATGAATACACAAACATGCTGCTTGTCACTAACGCCTGTTTGATCTGAGTCCTTGAGCGCAGGAGATAATGGATCTTTGGTCACACCATTCAAGGCAAGGCTCACACCATTCACGACAAGGCTCACACCATTCACGACAAGGCTCACACCATTCAAGGCAAGGCTCACACCATTCAAGGCAAGGCTCACACCATTCAAGGCAAGGCTCACACCATTCAAGGCAAGGCTCACACCATTCAAGACAAGGCTCACACATTCAAGGCTAGGCTCACACCATTCAAGGCAAGGCTCACACCATTCAAGGCAAGGCTCACACCATTCAAGGCAAGGCTCACACCATTCACGACAAGGCTCACATCATTCAAGGCTAGGCTCACACCATTCAAGGCTAGGCTCACACCATTCAAGGCAAGGCTTACACCATTCAAGGCAAAGCTCACACGATTCAAGACAAGGCTCACACCATTCAAGACAAGGCTCACACCATTCAAGGCAAGGCTCACACCATTCAAGGCAAGGCTCACACCATTCAAGGCAAGGCTCGCACCATTCAAGGCAAGGCTCGCACCATTCAAGACAAGGCTCGCACCATTCAAGGCAAGGCTCGCACCATTCAAGGCAAGGCTCACACCATTCAAGGCAAGGCTCACACCATTCAAGGCAAGGCTCACACCATTCAAGGCTAGGCTCACATCATTCAAGACAAGGCACACACCATTCAAGGCAAGGCTCACATCATTCAAGACAAGGCTCACACCATTCAAGACAAGGCTCACACCATTCAAGACAAGGCACACACCATTCAAGACAGGCTCACCATTCAAGACTAGGCATCACATCAAGGCAAGGCTCACACCATTCAAGGCTAGGCTCACACCATTAAAGACAAGGCTCACACCATTCAAGACAAGGCTCACATCATTCAAGGCAAGGCTCACATCATTCAAGACAAGGCTCACATCATTCAAGGCTAGGCTCACACATTCATTCAAGGTAAGGCTCACACCATTCAAGGCAAGGCTCAAACCATTCAAGACAAGGCTCACACCATTCAAGGCTAGGCTCAAACCATTCAAGACAAGGCTCACACCATTCAAGGCAAGGCTCACACCATTCACAACAAGGCTCACACCATTCAAGGCTGAGCTCACACCATTCAAGACAAGGCACACACCATTCAAGACTAGGCTCACATCATTCAAGACAAATCTCACACCATTCAAGACTAGGCTCACATCATTCAAGACAAATCTCACACCATTCAAGGCAAGGCTCACACCATTAAAGACAAGGCTCACACCATTCAAGACAAGGCGCACACAATTCAAGACAAGGCTCAAACCTTTCAAGGCAAGGCTCACATCATTCAAGACAAGGCTCACACCATTCACGGCAAGGCTCACACCATTCAAGACAAGGCTCACACCATTCAAGGCTAGGCTTAAGCCATTCATTTGAATGGGCTGCCATGCCCCAGGACACGCAGGAAAGAGGTCCCTGCACAATTTTTTAAATCGCAGGAACCAAAGTTCCCAGTACAGTTTCGATTTCCAGTGCAGGCGACGTGCCATTAGGATTTTTTTAATTCACCCAAATGTTTACCTTAATTTTTAAAGTCATCTAAATAGTAACAGCTCTTGCTAGACTGTTTTACATCAACTAACATTCTCTCTTCATAATAAACCTGCATTTTGCTTTCATTATACAAGAAAATGTGTGCAATGACTCCGATTAATTTAAGTTTAGGTCAATTTACATATTTTTCTCAGATCTGCCCCCAAGCATATGAACTCACCATGTCTCCATAGATCTCATCAGCCAAGATAGGTACACACTGCCTGGATGCCACTGTAAAGAAATTTGGGTAAAATTATTTCAGAGCAATTTCTTATGAAACATATAAGTAAAAAGACAACTAGAATGACGATCTGTGCACTTTTTGAAAAGCAATACGTTTCAAAACTAAACTTCAGACAAATCTTTACTTTTAGACTTAGGTTTTGGAAAGGGCTAGAACTTTCATCAGGTGCTGAATAATGACCCTGACACCATTGTTATCACTTCCTTCCCTAGTGACAGCTATTTCAGCAGTGGTTGTCAGCTTATGAGCTATAAGGGGCCTTAAATGCAGCCCCTGGCTTCACCAAAGGATCGCACCAAATGTTCAATATATGTAATGCTTGACAAGACATCCCGAAACTGCAGACCTAATAGAGGAAATGAAGGTCAGAGAGTGTGGACAGGATACATTATTGGCTGGGGATGGCTGCAGGAGACAATATGAAACTGGGAACATGTTACATGAGGCTGATAGAGATCAATGCTATTCCCTTAATCAATGTTCCGAGGGCCACACATCATATAGCAAAGGACCACAGGTTCGGCACCAGGGTATTACAAGAAATGATGGTAAATCTTTGCAATGCCCACACAGTTTGAAGCAGGGGCGGACTGACCATTTGGAAACTCGGGCACTGCCCGAGGGCCCGGGGTCAGTAGGGGGCCCCATGAGATGCCCCTGGTACCTTTTTCATATGCTTTTTTGAGTTTGGGTAAGGACACAGGGGCCCCATGATCCCCTAATTGCCCGGGGGCCCCATGAGTTGTCAGTCCGCCCCTGGTTTGAAGCTCAAACCCTTCCAAGTCAATCCAAAAAAAATGAAGCAGACCTTGCATGAAAAAAAAAGGCCCACATATATGAGAGCCCCCTGCCCACTGAATACCAAATGATAAAAGCCAAAAAAAAAAAAAGAAATTTGCCAAAAATACCTCTCTCTAGAACTGGGCCTTCTCCTAGGATCCTGGGAAAGCAGAGGATCCCATATACTGTAAGAATGCACACATAATTTGGGATCTTAAGTTGTCCCAGGATTTTAATATGAGGCTCAGTGACATCACTATAAGCACCTGGTAGATGGGGAGGACATTTTTATTACTTTTTTTTCTTTTGTGGCATTCAATTATCGTTTTTTAATCAGGGGTAGTGGGCTCCCTAAGCAACTTCATAATGTCAGTGTTTTCAAAAAGCCTGAGAGTGATTCCAAATACTGCTTGTACTTATAGGAAGTCAATTGTTCATTGGATTGATTTTTGTATTAAGGACCTACTCAACTCATTGAGATTCTGCATCTCAACTATATGTGGCCCTACTAAATACTGTATAGATACTGTATAATAATAATACTCAAATGAAATACCATTCAACAAAGTACTGTGTGGTCAAATATGTGTCTTGAAGAGATTCAATTGATTCAATCAATTGTTTGTATTGATTCAATTGGCCAAAAGATTCAATTGGCCATCCACAAATTATGGGTCTTTACCTGTTCTATACTTAGGAAAAACAGAAAAACTTACCGGCAATAATTTTCTGCAAGTGTTTCTTGCTGAAGACAGAGCCACAAGGATTGGATGGGTTATTGACAATGATACAGGCGGTCTTATCATCCACTAGAGACTCCATGTGTTTCAGATCAATCTCCCAGGACTTCTCTGGCTGCAAACACAACAGAAGAATGTCGGTGAGGGAAATGTTTGATCGTCTCTTTGGAACTTGAGAGTTCTTGGGTTCAACATACAACCAATTGTCCAAAATTAATGTGAAACTCAGAAAGTGTCACAAGTCAAGATGTTTCATATGTGGCTATTCAGTTATTTGGCTCTGGGGCACAAGCGGAGTTCATCAATATGGAGGCAATAAAAGAGGTCCACATCATCCAAACTAGATGACTTCAACAAATTGTGTACTGTGTAATTCTGATCTTTTTTGGACCTGTTTTTAGAAAAGTGATGCAATGTGTTTCCATATTGCAACAGGTAAAATTATATGCAAGAATATTTTCCAGTGTTGAGGTTATTGCCTGTGGCTAAAGAGCAAAGGAGCTTGGTAAACACACCAAACAATTATGGTACGGAACACTTTCTTGTATCAATGCATTTCTGATACCTTCTTTGCTTCCTTTTTGGAGAATCAAGGTTGGGCATGTGTATGTAGGTTGAGGTTGGGCCCACTTAAGCGTTTGCCTCTTTCAAATCCTTCCAGGAAGGAGAGTGAGTTCACTTCCTTCTTGGCAGAATCCCCATTAATATGATGGGAGTAGCCTAGTGAAAGGAGAAGAGCCCTGGCCGTGGGAAGGGTTGCCATGAGGAGAATGGACTGTGGACTTTATCTTAGGTTCCCCCTGGAGGGGGCTCCCCTTAGCTGGGCCTGACTGCACATCACCTACCTCAAAGAGACCAACAACAGTGAATCTGTTGTTGAAAGACTTGTTTCTGGACTGTATTGGGGTCTGAAACCTCAATCACTGTAATTCTGATTTGTGTCAGTAAAGAAGGTGTTATCTACATGCAGCCTCTGTGTGGAGTTATTCAGGTACCGCAGTAGATGTAGCGACAAAGTAAGAGTCGCCGGTGATGTCACCTGGCTGTCAAGCTGTGGAGAAAGTTGGGCCAGCGTCTTAATACTCCTGGGAGAGGGGGGGGGGGTACTGACGCGCAACCAGGAGGGTGGGTAGATGATTTGGTCACCTGTCCCCACCCGCACATTGTGAGGAAGAGAGTGAGGGTTACAGGGCAAGGTCTGATATGCCCAGAAGGTCAGTTATTTATTTATTTATTACAGGGACTTATACATATGTATTGTACATTCACATCAGTCCCCGCCCCCGAGGGGCGTACAATCTAAGGTCCCTAAGTCACAAGTTAGCCTGCAGTTTCTTGTTTGTGTATTCTTGCCTCCTTACTGCAGTGCTTTTCCTGATTCCTTTCACATGTGCGGTTTGTCCGTGCGTCACCTGCTATTCTCTGGGTTTTATTACCTTCCCTTCTATCACTTCCTGGCCCACTTCCTAGTTTACTTGTCTATATAAGACATGCTCAGTCTGGCCCATTTTGCCTGAGCAACTTCTTATTTCTCTGAGCTCCTGTTTGTTGCTACTCCTGTGTCTGACTACCCGTGTACTGACTCCGGCTTAGTCCGCCGACTGTGCTTGTTTTCCGCCCATCCTGACCTCAGCTTGTCTATTGGATTTCCTGTTGTCTCCTGCCATTGTACTCTGCTTACAGGAGCGGTCTCTGCATCCTCAGCTGGGCGTACCTGGGGGCTGCGACCTGGTCCCAGCTTGCTGCAAGTCAATCCCCACCATCAGAGGCTCTGGTGAAGAAGCAGGCTGGGGCTTAGACTCCACACCCTGGGGAACCCCAAGTTGGCGATCTTCAAGGGCTCACTACCACAGGCGCGTGACACCGCATACATACACATACTAGGGCTAATTTAGACAGGAATCAAATAACCTACCAGCATGTCTTTGGAGTGTGGGAGGAAACCGAGAACCTGGATTAAGCCCAAACAGGCACAGGGAGAACATGCAAACTCTAGGCAGGTGGTGCCGTGGTTGGGATTCAAACCAAGGACCCCAGTACTGCCAGGCGGAAGTGCTAACCATTTAACCACTGTGCTGCCCCAGTTGTCATAGGGGGTGCTCCGGCTGCCTGCTATAGCCACGCACAAGACAGACCCTCACCCGCCAACATATGAGTACCCCGTTCCTGTAAATTTGCACATCTTTACAATGGCAAATTTTGTTGTGAATACAAGATCAGTGCCTGCAAATGCTCCTGCCACTAAAAGCTCCTAAAAGTCTATGTGTGCATGGACACATAGGATAACATGGAGGGCCGTTTAGAAGTAGTAAAAAAAAAACACCTAATGCCCCCAAACGTGGCTGCAAAAACGCCCCGTGTGCATGAGGCCTAAAGCTGCTATTTGGACCAAATGAGATTTGGAACAGCAGAAAAAAACTCCACTAAGGTAAATATTTATAATTGGTGATTTTTTCAGGTGCCAAATGTGAACTGGAGAATGTTTTTGTCAATAAAGTAGATCTAAAGTAAGGTTGCCCCCACAATTTAACCATATCTGACAGTGAGCGGACCTCAGATTAATGTCATATATGTGGGACCTCAGATTAATGTCATATATGTGGGACCTCAGATTAATGTCATATATGTGGGACCTCAGATTAATGTCATATATGTGGGACCTCAGATTAATGTCATATATGTGGGACCTCAGATTAATGTCATATATGTGTTACAACTGAACATTTTCTTTTTTTTTCCATTTAAAAAAAAATAAAATGAATATAGAACCCTGCCATCCCTTACTTCCCACCAACTGCCAGACTGGCTGGGTCAACCAAGATTCTTCTGTTCTTCAAAGCACCCTCTTGACAAATTGGTAATAACAAGTCTTGAGTCTCATTCTCCTGCATTAAACACCTATACATACATGGATGATGCTTTACATTTTATGAAAGAGAATACTCACAATCAAGTTGTAGAGTTTCACTTCCACCCCCAGAGATAAGCCAATGTCTTGTAGAGAGAAAATCCAGGCCGTGGGACCAGGATGTTTTGACCCGGATTGGCCAGCACTGCCAGAGCCAGTTCAATAGCTTGGCTGCAACCACTGGTGAGGATTACATCCTAAGAGAGAGAGATGACCAAAAGTAATAAGACATATTGATATTGGATGACTTGCTTATTCAAACAGTGCTGTAAGCCAGAAATTCTAAATGCATATTTGACCAGTGTCTGACATCGTGACTTTAGTCTCCAACTACTCCTGTGGAACCTTCTCTGACCATTTCCTTTAATAAGTCTTCATTCTATGATGGTCTTTGGCAGCATTACATAATATAAATATTATATGCGCCCCTTTGAAGATTATGGGGGCAGCATTTGAGGCCCCTTATTCTTTGTAAGTTGACTAATGGTTTGACCAACTGAACCAATGGTTGACCTGCTTGGTCAACTGAACCAGTGGTTGACTGGTTGACCAACTGAACTACTGGTTGACAACCTGAACCACTGGTTGGTGCTTGACCAACTGAACCGCTAGTTGACTGCTTGACCAACTGAACTGCTAGTTGACTGCTTGAACCACTGATTGACCACCTGAACCTGTCAGAGCCTGGGATAGAACCTGGCCCTTCTGCGGTGAGAGGCAATGTTTCTTCTCACTGAGCTACCTGGGATGCTGGACAACGCTCTGCCTGATCTATTGGACAATCCTGCCTTGTGCCTTGTTTTTCTGTTGAACCTTGAACTCCTTGCTCCTCCCATAAACTTCTTGATAAAAACATGTCTCTGCACTTCCTGGTTGCCAGATTATTGTACCTTCACCAGCCAATATCCTCCTTGTCTCTCCTGTTGCCCTCTAGACCTTCGCTACCGAGCTTTGGCTTGTTCCTGGACTACGATTCTCATGCCTCATCTCATCTACTACCATTTGTGACCGACCATTGGCTTGTTGACTGACTCCGCTTCTGCTTGATCCTTTACTTGTTCGATCTGCTACGGGTTTCCGGCTTGCTCATTCCATGGTGGGGTGATCCTGAGATCTGCGACCTGGTATCAACACGCAGCCAAATCCATCTCCACCATTAGGAGCTCTGGTGAAAACCGGTTGGTGCTTAAAGCCTGTGTACCTATCCTGCTGGTTTCAGGTATGCCTTAACACTGCTATAGCAACTGGTCTCTGAACCTGACCCAGACCGTGACAGAACCACTGTTTGACTGGTTGGCCAACTGAACCACTGGTTGTCTGCTTGATCACCTGAACCGCTGGTTGACTGCTTGACCAACTGAACCGCTGGTTGTCTGCTTGACCAACTGAACTGCTGGTTGACTGCTTGACCAACTGAACCGCTGGTTGACTGCTTGACCAACTGAACCGCTGGTTGACTGCTTGACCAACTGAACCGCTGGTTGACTGCTTGACCAACTGAACCGCTGGTTGACTGCTTGACCAACTGAACCGCTGGTTGTCTGCTTGACCAACTGAACCGCTGGTTGTCTGCTTGACCAACTGAACCGCTGGTTGACTGCTTGACCAACTGAACCGCTGGTTGACTGCTTGACCAACTGAACCGCTGGTTGACTGCTTGACCAACTGAACCACTGGTTGACTGCTTGACCAACTGAACCACTGGTTGACTGCTTGACCAACTGAACCACTGGTTGACTGCTTGATCAACTGAACCACTGGTTGACTGCTTGACCAACTGAACCACTGGTTGACTGCTTGACCAACTGAACCACTGGTTGACTGCTTGACCAACTGAACCACTGGTTGACTGCTTGACCAACTGAACCACTGGTTGACTGCTTGACCAACTGAACCACTGGTTGACTGCTTGATCAACTGAACCACTGGTTGACTGCTTGACCAACTAAACCACTGGCTGACTGCTTGACCAACTGAACCACTGGTTGACTGCTTGACCAACTGAACCACTGGTTGACTGCTTGACCAACTGAACCACTGGTTGACTGCTTGACCAACTGAACCACTGGTTGACTGCTTGACCAACTGAACCACTGGTTTACACTACCTCCAACCTACCTTGGCTTCCAATGGAGCTTCAGGACATGTGTAGAATTTGGCAATGACTTCCCTGCTTGACTGATATCCTACAAATGAATAAGAAAACAGTGATAGCAACATTTTCTTTCAACAGAATTTATGGAAAGCAGCCAATTAGATGCTGTTTTCACTTGCAAATGTACAGTAAAAAAAAGGGCAGATGGAACCTACATATCTTTTGGCATAAACTGTAACCTAAGGGCTTATTAAATGTCCAGTTAAACATGTAAATTAGGAGTTCAGCCCACGTTACACTGACTTTTCAGCATTGATGGAACATTAAACTACCTAGTGGTTTATTTTGTCTCTTTTTGACTCTGGTGGCAAGATGTAATATGTTATGGAGGATGCAGGTTGGATTGGGGACTATAAAACTTCGACGTGAGTGGGATCAGAGCCAGGAACTATGGCAAGGAGATCTCACTGCTGAAGAACCAATAAAAACAGCAGGTGACTTCCCCTATAATTGCAACATCAAATTTAGATGGAGAGAAACTCATAATTTTTTTTTAAATGCTTATAAAAAATAATGCCAACAAAGGAAATGTGAAAGAACAGATCTACGTGAAAAAAGACTTGGAGCTGGGACTGACCTATACTTGGAGCATATCCGTTATACTTCTGGGAGTCAATTGCTTCCTTCATGGCTCTGGTAACCTCATCATCGGTTGGAAGGTTCCCAAATACCGTAGGGTCACCTACAACAAAAATGATATGTGGTTGAGATTAAGATCAATAAAGCAGAACTACACTGTATCTGAGCACCACAAACCAAAAGGGATATTTAATTTATTGTTAATATTCAAAGCAAACTCCCCCATCCATTCATGTCTCCATGCTTTATTTTGCTGAGCAATCACAGATCACCCCAGAGCATTTCTGGCAGTGGCCATTTGGAGTAAGGGCAGGTGATGGATGTAGCATTTACTTCCTGGAATCTATCTGCCCTTAGTTCAGGCATGCAGGGGGATGTGCTTAGCTGAGGAAGCCCCGCCTCCTATCCTGAAGACTCCTGGGATTTATGACATCATTTTTCTGAGGCATGGAAACTAAGAAGTAACTAAAGAAATGTAAAAAATACAAAATGCCAACCGCATAGGCGTGAGGGTGGGCCTTAACGCTGAGATGGTTGCGCTTTCCGATCATGTGACCCATGTGACACCAAATCACCAAAATGCAAGTTTCCCGGCTCTAGAATGTTTTAAAGGGCCGGGAGGCATTGGCGGGAAGGGGATAAAAAGAAATGAGAATATACCTTCCAATCCATGTACCAATGCTAGCAGCACAAGGGTTAAAAATAGTCAACTTTGATTGCACGATAATTTTTCCTTAGCCTAGAGAATGTGGGGAAAGAATATCCAATGAGGTGCAAGGAAAAAACCCCCATTAATCTTGATTTCACGTGATTTGAATGGCGGACGTCTGCAGAGCTTTACCCCATTCCCCAAGCTAAGGGAAAACTTCCAGCCTATTTGCCTTTAGTAGATCAACTCCAATATATCAATTCACCAATGTAGACCAGTGGTCTTCAAACTGGGGCTGGGGGCCGGATGTGGCCCTTTGCTTGCTTCTATCCTGCCCTTTGGGTGCTATTCCTACCACTGACATCATGAACAGGGCATAATCCCTGCCACTGATACTAAAAATAGGGCACTATTCCTATCAACGACCCCAACAATGGGACACTATTCCTGTCAATGACACCAATGGCAGGGAACTATTCTTCCCATTGACACCAACAATAAGGCACTATCCCTATCAATAACCCCAACTATGGGACACTATTCCTGCCAATGACACCAATGGCAGGGCACTATTCTTCCCATTGACACCAACAATAAGGCACTATTCCTATCAATGACCCCCAACGATAGGACACTATTCCTGTCAATGACACCAATGGCAGGGAACACCAACAATAAGGCAGATAGGACTTCCTGTCATTGGCACTACCACCAACAATGGGGCACTATTCCTTCCTCTGGTCCCAACAGGGCCAGATGTGGACCTTAGCTTGCTTCTATCTGGTCCTTTGGGCGCAATTCCTACCACTGACTTCACCAACAGGGCATAATCCCTGCCACTGATACTAACAATAAGGCACTATTCCTATCACTGACCCCCAACAATGGGACACTATTCCAGCCAATGATACCAATGGCAGGGCACTATACTTTCCATTGACACCAACAATGGGGCACTATTCCTATCAACGACCCCAACAATAGGACACTATTCCTGTCAATGACACCAATGGCAGGGAACTATTATTCCCATTGACACCAACAACAAGGCACTATTCCTATCAACGACTCCAACGATAGGACACTATTCCTGCCAATGACACCAATGGCAGGGCACTCTTCTTCCCATTGACACCAACAATGGGGCACTATTCCTTCCCTTGGTCCCAACAATGGGGCAATGTTCCTCCTACTAATGCCAATGATGGGCCATTGTTTACTCCCATTGAAGCCATGGCACTTTCTAGTTTCACTGGCCACAGTACGGCCCCCTCAAAGTCTTAAGGACACTTAAACTGGCCCTTTGTTTAGAAACTTTGGAGACCCCTGATAAAGACTGATCCAGGACCTGACCCAGCCTGTGACTGGGGCAGGTCCTGGATCAGACTATATTGATTCATTGATACATTGAGTTAGAGAAGGAAACTGGAATTGGAATGGAGGTTGTCCCTTTCCTGTCCCTTCTTATAAACGTGTCTACATGGGCACATAGGGAGACTTCTGATTGGCTGATTGTGAGCCAATCATAAAAATCTTATATTTCTGTGTAAGAAATTTCCAAACGTTTTCTGACTTTCCTTCTTATGATGTAAAATAGATTCAGAAATTACTCAGTTTGAGTGATATTTGACTTCAAAACAAGCTTTTTTTCTTTGAGGAACATCAACCACATGGAAATAAAAGGACCTGCTGACCTATAGACAAGGCGATCATTGGCTTGTTAGGATTGGGGGTGGCTTTCATAGTGTCCAC